ACCAAACCAAACCAAACCAAACCAAACCAAACCAAACCAAACCAAACAAACCAAGACTCTGCAGCTCGAAGCAATGCTTGCATAGGTTTAGGGCTTCCTTCCCTCACATGACCATAGCATTGCGGGTAACACAACAAGGTAGCAATACCTGGCAGGCAGAGGGAGGTCACGAGTGGGCCCTCCCATGTCTTTCCAATCAAAGGGGTATCTGTTTCTTTGGCATTCTGGTGAAAAATCCTAGACCCATTTGCAATTTTGATCTCTGCCGGTGTGGCTGGTTAACAATGTGGCCAACAGTACGACAGCTTGAGAAACCCTGGCAACGTGGCCCTATCTTGTAGAGTCTCCATATTCTGCTAAAGGGTTCTGGGTTAGCCCAGAGCCTGCCCGTGCCAGCCACGTAAGCCCGCATTCACTAAGCTATCTCTCCTGCCCACACCGTGGTTTTAAAATGAACTACTGTCACATAAATATCCACGGAGAAAATTTAACTGAAAAATCTTACGCTTAAAGTCAGATAACCATTATTCTGTTTTAATTCATCAGAGGTGGTTTTGTTAGGTTAACTAATAGAAATGAAGTTTCTTTTGATACAGTATTTACTTTCAGGAAAAACGCAGGGCATTAAATGTAAAAAAGCAAACCATTAGTAATTTCCCTGGCAACAAAACCTTTCCAAAACTTGAAGTTCCTCTGGATAGCTTCTTACTGGAGGGACTTCATCTCTTTTGTACTTCTCCAGGGTCTGCTATTTTTGATTGAAGTCTGTCAAGTTTGTTTGATTTAACACTAGCTCAGTAAGAAAATGTGTATCCAAAAGCATTAGAAACTGTCTGGTGGCATTTCTCACCTGTTACTCTGTGGCAGCTTTTAAAGAATAACCTACCTCAAGGGTCATTTTGTCCCAAAAGCCTGTGAGCTTCTGTAAGCACTGGCTAATTGGTTCTAATCAGGGAGGGCCAATGAGCAGCCTCTTGGAATTTCTCCTGTGTGGTCACTGCTTGCTGTCCCTATGTTATTCTTATACTTTAATAAAGAGTGAAAAATCAGTTCTCTGTATATAACTATATATCTGTGTATAACTGTATATATATATATATATATATATACATATATATATATATATATAACTGTGTATATATATAACTATATATATGTGTGTATATATATAGTATATGTACCTTAGAGGCATGGAGCTGAAATGCTTTAGCTTATATTGGCGCATGAATCGTTATGAAGCTGTCTAGGGTGCTTTTTCCACATAAGTCTCATGTTTTCATGGTTATAGTTTTCATTGCAGTTTTAGTGGCTTTATTGAGATATACTTTATGTAATTTACCTATTTAAATTATAATGTTCAATAGTTTTTAGTGTATTTATAGAATTGTAAAATCACCACAAACTAATTTAAAAGTTTTTCCTCCATCAGTTATCTCTCCACATCTCTTCTGCCTACCTCCAGGCAACTGTTAAATTTCTTTCAGTCTCTATGGATTTGCCCCTTCTGGGCATTTCATGTAAAAGGGAGCATATAGTATATGTGGTCTTTTGTGCCTGGTCTCAATTACGTAGTCTGAAGACGTTTGTTAGGTTTTTGGGTTTTGTTTTATTTTTGTGTGTATGGCTGTCTTGCCTGCATGTGTGTCCATGTAATGTGTGTGCCTGGTGCCTGTGGAGGCCAGAAAAGGGCATCAGATCCCCAGAACCAGAATCACTAAGCGTGTGGGTACTGGGAATCAGAGCTGGGTCCTCGGGAAGATCAGCCACTACTAAGCCCTGAGCTGCCTCCTGACCGGACTTAAGTGTATCTTCCACAGTGTGTATCAGCTTTTGTTCCTATTGCTGGGTGATATCCCATCATTTGTCATTCACCAGTTGATGATACACTGAGCTATTTAAGCTCTTTAACTGTTTGCAAGTTTTCATGTGGATGTATGTTTTCAATTTTTAAGTTTATCATTAGTGTGTGTGCACATGTATGTGTGTGCGCATGTGTGTGTGCACAGACACGTGTGCCTTGGCTGTACATGGAGGGCAGAGGCCAACTATTTGGAGTTAAATCTCTCCTTCTGTCTGGGTATCAAACTCAGGCTACCGCGTGGCCTGGAGCGGCATGCTTACCGTGTCTCTGAGCTGGAGGCAGGCAGGCATTCTCTTGGGTGTACGTCTGGAAGTGCAATTGGTGGGCTCCTGCTAGGCTTTGAGAGTCTGAGAAACTGCTAACCTGTTTTCTAACACAGCCTCTCCTTTACGCCCACCTGCAGTATAGAAGGTTCTGACTTTTGCATATCCGTGCTAATGGATTTTATTTATTCATTCTGCTTTTACTACAGCTATCCTAAGTTTGGACTTATGGTTTACATTTGCCTAATGGCCAATAGCATTGAAAATATTTTCACATACTTCCTGGCTGTTTGTGTGTATTTGATCTTTTGCCGATTTTATTATTTAAACTTTTTTTGTAGTGATGAGCATCAAGCTCAGGGCTTTGCTCATGTTAGGCAAACCCCTGCCATTGAGCTATATTCCCAGGCCTGGGTACTTTTAAATTGAGTCATTTGTCTCTTTTTTTTATTTATTATTATTTTTACATTATTCTGCCTTCATGTATGCTTGTACACCAGAAGAGGACATGAGATCTCATTATAGATGGTTGTGAGCCACCATGTGGTTGCTGGGAATTGAACTCAGGACCTTTGGAAGAGCAGCCAGTACTCTTAACCTGTGTGCCACCTGTCCAGCCCCTGGTCATTTGTCTCTTAATTTTCACAGGTATTAGGTAGGCAGGCAATCAACACCTTAATTAACTAATATCTTTTTCATGCAGGACAATAGTTATTATCAGAACATCTATTCCTATCTCAGGGAATACTTACAAATTAAGTGTATTTCTTTCGGACTCAGGATTTTAAGTTTGATGAACTTCTGAGGTCACTGTCTTTCTCTTTGGAGCTCTTGACTAATGACTTGATGAGCCATCATCAGCTTGGATGTCAGTCAGAGCAGGGCTGCCTGTGGGGCGCAATTGATAGATTCTATGTTATTACAGCTATTTGGCCTGTAGCAATAGCAGTTAAGTTAAATTTCTTCATCTGCTAAGGTCACCGTGATCTTAAGATAGTTTACAAAGGGACAAGTATGATCAGGTGTGTTGGAGACTCGGGGTCTCTTTTCAACTCACACTACTTGTGGGCTGCATTTCACCATTTCTTACTAAACATATGCAGTGGTGGCAGCTGGTCAGATGTGTCCAGAGACTGTCTACAACTGTCTGGTCTCCAAAGAAACCTAACGTTTAAGACATCGTTTACTGATAGCACAAATACGATAAAAGCTTTACCGAATACAGCTGTCATTTATAAAGTCTATGATGCAAAAATCAAAACGGTCCTTCATTTCAAGAGCATTGCCAGACATACAGTAACAAAAGCAGAGGAGCAAGTTGGCTGCGTCTTCAGAGGAAGAAAAGCTGTCCCTAAGGCAGCACAGATGTACCCACACACAAGTTGCAGAATTAGAGAGAAGCAGCTATGGACACACACAGTAGTGGGAAAGCTTTCAAAACAAAGGGGACATCATGCCATACAAAGAAGCAGAACCCCAGCCAGCATGGCTGCAGTGTTCTGCAGCCACTTAGGGCCCTTTCGCCCTGTCCCCACCACAGCAGGGGGACAGCAGTGTGGTGTCAATCTGAAAGAAGGAAGAGTGCTGGTGGGGAATAGACATAGGAGTGGTGCCTGTGGTGCCTATGTTTTGGGCAGTGATTCTCAGTTGACGGTTGACTGGACAGTTGAATAGATTCTGTTTTGCTTCTATTTTGAGAATGGGTCAGTTTCTGCCCATGGGCTAGAGCAGTGTCTACAAACTAGCCATTTATCAATGTATTTATGTGAACATGAGCTCTTTCAGACAGTATAGAGGACCTACACCATATAGGAATCCTCTATAATAATTATTATTTCATAGTATTGATTAAAACAAACGCAGTGCTTTAGTTTTCTGTAGTGAGAATTCTGGAATTTTGGTTTCTTTATTATAATTTCTGTAACTATTGTAAGAATGTGTTTTTGTTTTATCCCAGGTGTGGGATATGGAGCTGCTTCGCAGCAGGTGACTATGAATTGTCTCATGCTCTAGCAGAGGCATGATTTTGCTAGCGGCAGATAGTTTCCGCAAGTGTGTGACATTTGGAATTCCGGGGACTTTTCAGAGGATGTATAAATGCTAGGGCCCTTACAGGTGTTGCTGTTGGCTGGATGTTGTTGGTTGAAGTGTGAGAAGAAGAAACAAGAAAAAGAAGAAAAAATTAGATATCCTGATGGTGAAGATCAAACTTGCCCCGAGGAACTCAACAGCTATAACTAGCAGGAAGTAGTCTAATGATAACAAGGTTCCCTTTCCCCTCTGTCCTTTTTTCTCTCTTATCTAGTGTTAAGAGGTAGAAAGGAGCAAAGAAAAGGGGTGGAGAAGGGTGGAAGAAGGAAAGGAACTCACAAAGTAGCAAACAGTTACTGTTTCATAGCTGCAAATGTATAATTATACATTTATTTATACAAATACATGTTAATGTACAGTAAATGAGTACACTTTATATTTTTAATGTCCTGTATATATTTGAGAGCTCAGTGATTCACTGAATAGTTTAAAGTTTAACAGAAGAAAATTGGTAAAACTGATATAACCAGTCAAAATAGTACAGCTTTTGGGAGCTGGTGGAAATGTCCCCTGCATAGCTGACTTAAGACATAGGGTCTACAGGGGCTGGAGAGATGGCTTAGCTGCTGAGCCATTCAGAAAATCATTTAAAAATGGAGCAGCTGCAAGAAAGTGATTTCATTTTCAAAATCCAGAAATATAAGACACAAATTGGTAAGCTTTTTATTTATTTCGTTTTGTATTTCAACAGAGTAAAAAGGCCATAAAGAATATCATACAAAAATGCACGTACCTCCCCGCTCTCGAGCCGTTCCTTTATGACACGCCTCCCAATATCCTGAAGTACGTGGCTGGACAGTTTAGTAAGGTAAGAAATGTCCTCGAAGGAAGGACACAACAATTGTTTGTGAGCTTGTTTTTCTGTTTTCTTCTGTGTAATTGTGTCTGGGCTTTATTATTTAAGTCTCAGCACTCACCAATCTCAACTGACAGTGGTAGCATAGGTTAATAAGCCTCACAGATAAACGAAACGTTTCATCCTTTAGCATATGGTCAGCACAGGACCAGTGTTTTGGTCCTGACAGTCAGGATGGTGCTCTCGGCTGCAATGGAGCTGTCCCTTGCATATCTGACTCAGAACAGGGTCTACAGGGGGCTGGAGAGATGGCACAGCTGTTAAGAATCCTAGCTGTGTTTCCAGAGGACCTGCCTTCCATTCCTAGCACCCACACAGCAGCTCAAAACTGTCTATAACTCCATTCCCAGGGGGTCCATGGCCTCTTCTGGTCTCCATGATCACTAGGCATGTACATGATACACAGAATACAGATCAAACACCATACACATTAAAAAAAATTAAGGCAGAGCCAGGTGGTTGTACAGACTGTATGAGATCAAATATGGCAAGAGTTTAGCAATCTAAGGTACATCAAAATACCCCCAAACAAAGACAGACAAAACTTTGTATTTAAAAGGCAAGACATTTGCTGACAGGGTCAGCAGGCAACGGTGTTTCCACCACTCTGACAGCTAAGTGTGCTCGGGAGCCACTTGCTGAAGGGGAAGAACCGACTCTTGTGAGTTGTCTTCTGGCTTCACACACGGGCTCTGGCCTGTGCACCCCGCCAGCAGACCTCAAACGTTACACTCCCCACACGGGGGCTGCTGAGAGGTCTCAGCAATGCCGGAACTGCCTGGGTAAAGGTGGAATGAACCAGCTTCACGGAGTTGTTCTCTGATGTCCATGATGCCGTGGCTCACATGCCCACCGCCAACGAGAAGTAAACAAACAAGCCAAATTTCAAGGTTTTACAACCAACTACATTTTCTTTAGTTAACGGAAGAAGACAAACTCAGCCGAACAGTCAGTTTTAATGCTCTGTACTATAAACAAGGTCGTTTCTTCTGCCTCCTCCTCCACTCCATCTCCCCTTTCCTCCCCCCATCTCTATGTCCAGTGCGGAGGATCAGGCACAGGGACTTATACATGCTTTCCAAACGTTCTTACGGAAATAACTTAGTTTTGAAAGGTGAGAGGTAGCCTAGGTTGGCCTGTGGTTCACAGCTGCCTAGGTGGCCTCTGGCCTCATCTTCTGAGCTACAGGCGCACGCTCTGGTGTTCTGGAGACAAAGCTTGGGATGGAGACTGTGAATCCGAAGCTTGGGAACATACTTAGTGTTACAACTGTGCAGGAAAGTTACACGGCGGTTCATGCCACGGGTTCCACGTGGGAGGTTTATTAAGGGAAAGAGGAAAGGGTCATAGAGACCGTCTCTGGGTATGGGAAGAGAGAGAGAGTCAGAGGAGGTAGTGTGAGTTCTCTTTTAAGGAGACCCAAAGCATGCATAGGTGGTTTCAGGTGAGCCTTGGGTGGTCCGTAGGTGGCCTCACAGATACCTGACATCCGGTTTGTGAGGTCCCTTGGGGCTGGCCGTAGAGATGCCTGCTTACGGATCCCAACACTTAGGAGGCAGGAGAGAGGACCTTCCGCCTTTAGGTAGTGGGAGACCCCAGGCCCATCTAGCTCTAGGTCTGACTGCCTCTCCACCAGCTTTGCTCAGTGCATTGCTTTACTTTGTCTCTACGACATGAGGGTTAACCCACTTTGAAAAAGGATGTATTTCACTTCCAGTCATCAGCTCTTTATGTTGTAAGTGGTGTGCTGAACATGAATTCGCTTCTGCATTGTTTCTGATACTGTATAACCTTTGAAGAGTCATAACCTGACTTGGAAAGGTGAAGATGGTTTTTTTTCTGTTTCTCCCTTCAAGGTGCTGCGACACGACAGCAAAGCTCGGAGGCTTTTTGTAACGAGTGGTGGACTTAAGAAGATCCAAGAGATAAAAGCAGAGCCTGGTTCTCTCCTCCAGGAATACATCAACAGTATCAACAACTGTTACCCAGAGGAAGTAGTAAGGTGGGAAAATGGGGGTTGGGGATTTAGCTCAGTTGGTAGAACGCTTGCCTAGCAAGCGCAAGGCCCTGGGTTCGGTCCTCAGCTCTGGGGGAAAAAAAAAAAGGTGGGAAAATGGACGTCAGTCAGTTCAATGTTACAAATCATTTCTTGGTTTTCTTATCTGTGTCAAAATGTAGACTTTGGGGTGGGAGTGATGGCTTAGTGACAGGAGTGCTTACAGGAGATCGGTTTCTTCACTGTAGAACTGGGCCGCACACATCCTAGATACTGGGGTCAGAGATAGGGAGAACACGGGCGCTCACAGGCCAACCAGCTAAGTCGATGCCAGTGAGATTCAGGTTCACTGAGCGACTGTCCCAAACAGCAAGGTGGTGAGTGATGTGCTTATTTACAAACGTGTGCATATCACACACACACACACACACACACACACACACACACACACACACACGCTCTGCATATACCACAAATACATACAAAAGAATAAAAAGAAGAGGTTAGGAAGAGGAGGAAGACTCGGACAAAGCAACTTGATTTTCGCTGTTTGAGATCATCTTGCTGTAGAGATTGGACTTTGCCCTGAATATATTAGTGTTTCCCTCTGAGCCTCTCAGGTCCGGAGATTACAGGAGACCCGCCAAGATGGGCTCAGCAAGGTGTACCTTCAGGGCCTGTGCACTGAGCTACACCTCCAACCTAGATGAAGGTTTTTCCAAATGAAGTCATTTTAGAGTGTTAAACCTAAGTCTCAGGTCTTATAAACCTAGCAGAGAACCATACAGTTAGGCCCCAAACAAAAGCAAGTTTTCTAAGAAACAAAGAATTTAAGCTTAAAAAAAATGACTAGAGCGCACAGAATACAGATATATTTTCTCCACAAATAAAAAACAAACAAACAAACTCCCACCATAATAACTCACAGGTTATAACATACATAAATTATAGCTTTCATCTATCTTCCTAATTAAAACTAATGTTTTGATTTTTTTGAGACAGGGGTTCTCTGTGTAGCCCTGGCTGCTCTAGAACTCTCTTTGTAGACCAGGCTGGCCATGAACTCAAGAGATCTGCCTGCCTTTCCCTCCTGAGTGCTGGGATAAAGACGTGTACTACCATGCCTGGCTATACTAATGTTTTTAGAAGCACAGTAACATTGAGTGTAAAAGCACAAAATAATTTTAAGATTAAATTGTTTTTTATTCACAACTTTATATGCTCTTATTTTTTTTTTTGTTGTTGTTGTTTTTTGTTTGTTTGTTTGTTTTGTTTTGTTTTGTTTTGTGTAGCTCTGGCTGGTCTGAAACTCACTATGTTGACCAGGCTGGCCTCAACTCACACAGATCTTGCCTGCTCTGCCTTTCAAGTGCTGGAATTAAAGGCATGCATACCATGCCTGGCTTGAACACTTTTAAAAACTTACAAGACATGCCTGTGTGTATGTGCACGTGAGCACAGGTGCCCCCGAGAGATCCCTTGGAGCAGTTGACAGGGGCTGGGAACAAAACTCAGGTTCACACTTGGGTCCTCTGCAAGAGCAGTAGTGTTCTTAACTGCTGAGCCATCTTTCTCTTCCAAGTTTCATGCTCTTTGATTTATTTTCTTTTTATTAATTATACTTCATTCACTTTGTATCCCCCCCGTAGCTCCCTCCTTCCTCCTCTCCCCTCCCAATCCTACCCTCCCTCCCCCCTTCTCCACCCATGCCCCTCCCCAAGTCCACTGATAGGGGAGGTCCTCCTCTCCTTCCTTCCAATCTTAGTCTATCAGATCTCATCAGGAGTGGCTGCACTGTCTTCCTCTGTGGCCTGGTAAGGCTGCTCCCCCGCTCAGGGGGAGGTGATCAAAGAGCAGGCCAATCAGATTATGCCAGAGGCAGTCCCTCTTCCCATTACTATGGAACCCACTTGGACACTGAACTGCCATGGGCTACATTTGTGCAGGGGTTCTAGGTTATCTCCATGCATGGTCCTTGGTTGGTGTATCAGTCTCAGAAAAGACCCCTGTGCCCAGATTTTTTGGTTTTGTTGCTCTCCTTGTGAAGTTTTGTGCTCTTGAGAGGCTCATGAGGACTTGAAACAATTCTGGTAGGCCAGTTTTGAAAATATTAATTTTCATTATTTTCACTGATATATACACTCCTTTAGTGTATGATACTAAAGGAGTAGAATGTCATAGCATATATAAAATACACAAACAACAAAACCCTATAGAAAATACCTGTGAAACCAAAAAATGAATGATTCTGAAAATATTTTATTAAAATTTGTTTTTTAACATGGATGTATGTGCTTTCAGGAAAAATATTATTTTGTGCAAGCTTAAGTTTTTTAGAACACTGAACTTTCAATTCAGTATTCTAAAAAACAAAATAAAATGAAAGTGAAGAAAAGGTCAATAAGAATCCCCACAATAGAAATGATCTATAAGAAACATTTTAAACAAATTAGTTTGCTTTTTTCCACCCTCTTGGTTATTGTTTAACTAAGAACCAGTCCCGGTAGGAGGACCCTGTCATACTAATTTAATCTGCTGCTTTCTAAAAATACTATTATAAAAATTTAAATTCTTAAATTCTAGAGTTTGAGATTTCATTTATTATTTAAAATTTGCTTTTGCTTTTTGTTTGTTTTGTTTTTTTGAGGCAGGGTTTCTGTATGGCTCTGGCTGTGCTGGGCTTGCTCTGTAGGCCAGGCTGGCCTCCAACTCACAGAGGATCTGGCTGCTTCTGCCTCACAAATGCTGAAATTAAAGGTGAGCAGCACCATGTCCTACTGAGATTTCATTTAAAAACTCTCTACTTTTTATGAGGATTTTGGCTCACCGACCTTTTCAAATTTCTGATTAAAAAAAAGCATTAGGTGCTATAAAATAACATTTTGTGGAGATCTTTAAAGCACTGTGAAAAATAGGCAAATATAATTTCAAAACGGCGTTATTTTTGGTTATTTCTCAAAACTTATTTGGTGATAACTGTTTTAGTACTAATCATTTTTTATAAGACAGCAGTAGCTGTCTTTTCACACATTGTCTCCCAGTTTTAATTCTCTTGCATCATTTCTAGCAAGAGTGGGCTGTGAGAGGGAAGGGCCTGGGCTGGGCTTCTGAAGGACTGTGCTTTAGGCCAGCCACCCCAGCTACAGGGGAGCTCTGAGCTTGCCCTCTGGATCTCTGCACACTCTCCGGGGGAAGGCGGCCCTCAGGAAAGAGCTAGTGTGCGAGGGAGGCCTGCATCCAGCTCGTCCCTCAGCACAGTCTTCCCGGTCCACAGGCCAAGACAATAACCCTCCCTCTGCATAGTCTGGGCAAAGTTGGCTGGCTCACACCCTCTCTCAAGGCCTCTGAGCTCGGGTAGAGCAGCAGCGATGGACAGCCTGAGGGAAGGAAGCTCTCACTGTTTAAGTGGCTCTGATGAAAGCTCAGGTCATGTGTCAGATAGACCTAAGTTCCTGTCTCAGCTCTAATTATTTCCTGTGTGGTCTTGGAGACAATAATTGGATGCATTAAGCTAGAATTTTTGTATTTGTAAATATTATTATCAATCTTATAACACTAGAATTAAATGACATTAGAGTCAAAGGGCTTGTATTAGTAAGAATTCATTTCAGGCAACTTCTGTTATTGTCTCTTTTGGGGTATTTCTAGTCTCATTTTTTTTTCTCTTGAAATTAGATAGCATTATTAGGCAAATCAAATTTAGTTTTATAATTGTATTAGAGATAATATATAACACTACTCGATTCCTTATTTTTCACTGTTTTGATGATAAATGCATAACAAGAAAATATTTCAAATTTACAAATGTAAAATAAAACTATCCTGGTGTATCTTAAATGTCGTTTATTGCTGAGCTGGAAGCTACTTTTGAATCCCTTATCACCATAGAGGTTGAAACAGTGTCTTTCTCACAATAAATGAATGACTCAATATGTTCATTTATGGGTCTGTATTTTGAGACACATGTGAGCTCAGTGTACAGCCGTGAAGGGCTGAGCACTACTAGCACCTGCTCTGCTGGTGAAGGTGTGTGGGTGTTTGATCACTTTTTTCTTTTTTTTTCTTACTGTGAGTCCTAGAGACTATGAGGTTTCTGAGGTTTTTGGCAAAGGAAATTTGGCAATGACAGTAAGCTTAGAAATGAGTCTAGTAAAGCCTCAGGACTTATTGGCACATCCTCATCGAGACAGGAGAGCTCTTAGTCTAAAGTAACAAGAATCACATGTATAATTTCTAGCTTTCTGGTAGTCCCATTTTTAAAAAGTAAAATGAAATGGTAAATAAATTTTAATATATTTTTTAAAACCCAAATACCCAAGCCTTATAATTTCAACTTTTAAACAATATAAAATTAGTTATTTCATATTTCTATATTATTTCATTACTTCTACCATATCTTAATCAAGTGGCAAATCTCATTGGAAATATCTGGGTTAAATTTAGAGTGTGTAAAACTTACATGGCAAAAAGCAGACTCACAGATGACTTCCAAACATGTTTTATGTTTTCCAGTAGTCAATTTGTCAGTTTTAAAGTTAGAATTTAAACAGTTTCTTAAGCACAGTAGCTATATTTCCAGTAATCTTTAACCCTATGTGACTACTGGTTAGCATTTTAAGTAGCACATTTTAGAAGGTTTCTAAAACCCTGTCTCCTAGCTTACTATAAAGACTACCTGTCTCGTGTGACACGCTTCTGAGGAGCATGAAGCAGGGGCAGTGTCACAGCCGTACTAACAGACTTAGGGACAGTAGCCGGTTCCTCAGTGGAAAACATTTTAAAAACAGACAGACAGACAGACAAACACCACGTTTTAAACAAATTTTTCTAGATTAGGTGGCCTTTGATGATTTTTTTTTATTTGAGACAAGGTCAGTGTCTTACTATATTGCCTTAACTGATCTGTAACTCGCTATGTAAACTAGGCTGGTCTCAAGCTCACAGAGATCCACCTGTCTTTACCTCCTGAGTGCTGGCCATAGAGGTATGTGCTACCACGCCTGGCTAAAATCCTATTTTTATTTTTAATTATATGTATGTGTCTGTGCACATAAGTGCAGGAGGAAGCACACACTAAGAGAGATTTTTAGGTGTGTTCTGTGAAGCTTTGATTGTGAACAAGTACACTATTTAAGAAAATATAATTCTGTCTTGCCCACTTTAACTTAATAAATTGTGGAAGAAATTATGACTTTTGAAAAGTTGTTTTTTAATTTTTAATTTTATGTGTATGGGGATTTTGTCCATATGTGTGGCTGTATACCATTCATGTGGCTGGTGCCCTCAGAAGCCAGAAGAGGGCCCTAAGTTTCCTGGCACGGGAGTTAGAGCTGGGACCTGACCCCAGGTCCCCTGGAAAAGCGACAGGTGCTCTACACTACTGCGCCTCCCCAGCTCCAGATTCACGACTTTCTGAGAACATAGAGAGCAAAGGACAAGTCCCCAGCACTAACTTTTAAGAAAACATTTTCAGAGGCCTACTCACTTTGAGTAAATATTTTGAAAACTTTTAAATTATGCTTTTAAACCCATTTCTATATTAGAATACATACCAGATTTTACTAGGCTTGTTTTTATGTAAGTGTAAATTCTACAGCATATTACTATTCACACATACTATTCATATGTTTAGTACTTTATACTAAATATTTTATAAGATGCTAAATTTAAAGTGGAAATGTATGGTATTATATATGCCCAAGAACCAATGGAGATGGTTGATTTTTCTATGTTGTATGAGTGTTTATAAATCATTTGTTCAATTTTTTCAATGTGAATTATAACTGGTTATGATCAAACTATTTTAAAACATAATTTCTGAGGCAATTGGAATGCAGAGGTTGATTAGTAAAAATAGATTGTATAGTCTCACATACAAGAGACATTAGTTAGCTATATCTTCCAGTTATTTCACTGTGAGTGCCGTCACTTACTTGACGGCAGCCTCTGAAATATCACCACTGGATTGATGGCGTGTGCTTGGAGAAGTCTTCTTTGTCACCATGCTTACAGCCTTGAAGTGCTTCGGAATCTTTTACAGCACTGAGTTGGGCTCTCTGTCTTCATACGTTCTTTTGCACAAGCATTACTAGAACAATATGTGAAGTCTCACCCATACGGGTATTTATTCTAAAAACATTCACACACACACACGTGTGCTACAGCATGTATGTGAAGGTCAGACATGTGGGGTTGGGTGTCTCCAGGGATGAGCTCGGCAACTGGTGAGCAACCTCCCCAGCCCCATGAGTTATTTAGTAAGTTCTTTACGTATCTGCTTTTGTGTATACTGTAGGAACATTTCCATATGTCTGATAGCAAATTTTCTTTTTCAGGTACTATACCCCTGGATACTCAGAAACGCTTCTGCAGAGAGTGGACAGCTATCAGCCACTTGCTAACTGAAAAAAGTACATTTTTATACTCAGAGTCACGGGAGAGTAAGAGTAACAGTTGTTTCTAAGATGTTTGCACTAAGTAATTCTCCTCTTGTTCAATGTGAAATGCCTTTAGTGTTTTCTGTATTTATTAATATTCTATAAACTATTAGCTACAATGCATGAAAAGACTAGTCAATCATTTGTATAAAGGTAGATTTAAAAGGCAGGACAGGCTTTAAGGTATTTGTTTTTTCTATAAACTCATAAACATAACACAACACACATATCCTTCAGAGGAGATACAAATGAGACATGCTGTTTGAAAAGCCTTAGTTATTTCCTCATGGACTGGCTAGGAAAACTCACCTTGCCAGTTACACGGAGACAGGAAAGGGAATCTGGAAAGGGGAAAATGATGATAAGAATGCAGGCCCTAAAAAAGAGTCCTGGTTTACCTAAGTGCACAGAAGACAGCACAGGAGCTCTCCAGGGGCCCACCTGGTTTCTTAAGAATTTAGGAAAGCCCCTCCTCCCCTTTTAATTCTGGTTTTGAAACTATTTTCTTCTCACCCTCTATGAAGTGTTTGTTTCTTAGCTGTCATGCTGTCCATTCCCTCTGAGAGCTCTTACTGTGATGCCTCTTCAATGCTCAAGACACAGAAGCTTTGTCCTTAGGGTTCCCTTGTCCCAGAATCAGTTTACAACTTTCAGAATTCACGTGTTCAGGCTTTAAGATACAATTGGCACAGAATAGCAGAAGACTCGGACCTAGTGCATTTCAGTTAGGAAGCTGTAATGGGGTCAAAGTAGATTCCAACAAAACACTAAAAAGAGCATTGCTTTTTTTTAAATTATTTTTTTATTTTCCCTACCTAGCCAATGCACTTCTGACCATAGGAACTTTTTCTCTGATTCAAAAGTCTCAGTTATATCTTTGTCTTGGGCCTAACAGGCTACATCTCTTTTTAATTGATTGATTTATGTGTATGAGTATCTGCATGTATGTCTGTGTACCATGTGTGTGCCTGGTGCCCATAGAGGCCAGAAAAGGGCTTCAGCTCCCCTGGGATTGGAGTTAACAGATGGTTGTAAGCCATCATGTGGGTACTGGTAATTAAACTAGGGTCCTCTGGAAGAGCAAGCAGCCAGGGCTCTTAACCGCTGAGGTACCTCTCCCTTGCCCCTACAGTTTTTTTCTTGAGAGGTATTTCCTGGAGGCCCAAAGAACAGAGAGGGATAGGCTTGTAGCCAGCCTTTGCTACTTTGTGGATTCTTTTTCCCACCCTTTATTCCCCATTCCCTGGTTTTACCTCCTAACATTAGATTGGAGAGAAACAAGGATAGAAGGGAGAGAGGAATTAGGAAAATCCCTGAATCTAATATCTTTCCTTTTGTTTCTTCTGACCACAGCTGCTAGCAAACTACAGCCAACCTCCCAAAATGACCAACAACCACTGACCGGCTCTAGCATTTATATACCCTCTGAAAAGTTCCAGAATTCCAAATATCACACACAGCTGTCTGCAGCTGGGAAAACCATGCCTCTGCCAGAGCATGGTGCAAATCACAGTCAGCTGCTAGAAGCCCCATATCCCTACACCTGGGATTAGAACGAAAACAGTCTTCTATTTCTGTGTTTTTAAAGAAATCAAAATTCCAAAATTCTCACTACACAGACTACCTCAGCAGTTCCCTGAACTACAGTGGACCCAGACTTAAAAACCTTCTTGGACTCTGTAGCGCTTGTTTAAAAAAACTCTATTTGGGGTATTCTTGCCTCTACCTCCTTTCCACCAACCCCCAGCCCTATGTGGGGAAAGGGTGGTGGGCAGAGGGGTGCAGACCATTGCTTTTCCCTGCGGTTTAGGGTTGATGGGGCTCTGGGGGTTATGCCAGTGTCTGTCAACAGCGGACACAGCTAGCAGCCTCCTCCCAGCAGCTGTGTCAGGAAGTGTCTCTCCCAAACCACTGCAGTCTCTGGTCTCTCCAAACTGCTGCTCGCCACACACCAACTCTGAACACCAATTTTTCTCTTCTGAGCTCTCATATTTATATCCTCAGAGCCCTAGACCAAGTGCTGCATGAGGAAGGCAAAAGCCACGCCCTGCATGAGAAATTAACGGCTGTGGACAAACTAAAGCCCAACTAAAATCCTATACTTGGGACTAAAATAAAAACATATTTACATAACATAGCTGAGTTTACAAAGAGAGCAAAACTTCCATCACAGGGGTCCTTTTATATTTAGTTTCCTGAAAAGGAAAGGCCCCATTACCAGGAGCATTTTCCTGGGTTTACCTCTGTCATTCTTATTTTCTACCAGCAAGCAGCTTTGTTGCATCTTTAAAGACTTCTTCATAACCAGCAAGCAATCGCCCATCTCTTTTTTATTTATGTCAAGCTAGAATGCCTGGCGTTTCCTTTTTTGGTGGTGCTGAGGATTGTGTGTGCAGTGCACACCTTCACTCCTGACCTCATTTCATAGCCTATTTTATTTTCTTACCGAAATTTCTTACACTCACTGCATAGGAAACTATCATTTTTATTCCCAATTTTGTGGCTTTCTTTCTCTTTCCTGTCTATCTAGTTTGTCTTGTAAGCCATTTAATGACCTGAAGGGATAAAAAGTAGCTTTCCTCATGCTTTTTCAAAATGTTTACTTCTTTTAATTTATATGTGCATTAGTATTTTGCCTGCATGTATGTCTGTGTAAGGGTGTTGGAGTCTCCTGGAACTAGAGTTACATAAAGTTGTCAGCTACCATGTGGGTGCTGGGAATTGAACCTGGGTCCTCTGAAAGAGCTCTTAACTACTGAACCATCTTCCAGCCCATTTTTATCATTCATAATTAAGAATATTTTCCACTCTGTGAAAATATCTGTGTGATATCTCAGTATGGGGAGGCTATGGTGGCAGAATTTCAAGTTCTGTGTAACAGAATAATAACCTGTATAAAACAAAAACTAACAAAACCACAACAGTAGCTGCTCTTAGATGACCATGATGATACAGTAAAAATGAATTTATCTAGGTTAAATATTAGATATTAGAATGGTAAATTCCATCTTGTTTCTTAATATTACCATTATACTTTGCAATTGACATTTTTTTACTTTATACATCATCTTATGTTCATCCAAAAGTACGACACTAAGAATAAAATAATACTGTTCTGCTACATGTTTCTACTTTGATCAGATGGGATTAGGAAATATTAAGTTCTGTTTCTCTTTTGTTTGTTTTGCTTGAGACCAGGCTGGCCTCCGAATCTGAGAGGTCTGCTTGCCTCTGCCTTTAAAGTACCAGCTGTAGGGTCTGCCCCACACCCAGTTGTTTATAAAAGACACTTTAAGCAACAGAAAACTTTGTTTGTCTTGAGACAGGGTTTCTCTGTATAGCCCTGGCTATCCTGGACTCACTTTGTAGACCAGGCTGTCTTCAAACTCACAGTGATCTACCTGCCTCTGCCTCCCTGGGATTAAGGGAACATTAAACATTTAAAATACATAGCATTAAAAAAATCCTTTTTGTGTTTAAGCAAAAATAATGTCTGCCATTGATGAGTCTCTGGTGTTTTCACTAATGGTTTGAGTTTTGTCCATGCCAATTTTCTATGCAGACTAACTCCTCTCCCAATGTCCCTGTAGTGTATTTAAATTTTACCTTTCTAGAGGAACTCCTCCCATGTGAGGGAGGACTGCTGCCAGTTTGGGAATCGAGTGGGAGCAAGGGTGATGATGTGCGTTCAGCTTCCTCATGAAATGCTCATGAGAAGAACCTAGAGTGAAGCGGAAACACTGCTGAATGTCTTCTCTTCTACACAAGCCTGATGCGATTTATGGCGATCTGATGACAAAGCTTTGCATTTGGCAACAGTTGTGCTATCTCCCAGTTTTCCTTCTTAGGTGAGTGGGTTAAGCCCAATGGTTTGTGATGAAGCAAACCTACATTTCCTGCCCTCATGGAGTTTTCTAACACACACACACTTTCCCTGAGGGACCAAAACATCCATGAAACACTGAGCACGAAGCAGTCATATTTAATGTAGCATGTGAAAACAAATGACAACTTCATATTCACAGGACATTAGCCTGCTTTTCTAACTCTTTCCTCAAGCAAAACCCCTTAAAGAATGAAAGGTTTGCTTGCTGCTAAAAATGAAGCCCTTCTTAACATAAATTAAATCCCATCTCTCTAAGAAGTCAAGTTTAGAAATTGACCTTGAAAGGATGAATAATTTTCTGTAACCATCCTTTTAAGATAGGTGCTAGCAAATGTTGATGCTTATTTGGCCACCAAATTTGTTGTTTAGAAAACTTAACTTGTAGTTACTTTTTCAGAGATTGACAGGACCAAGTCTATATCTATACTCTTCTATTTACTAATTGCTTAAAGCCTTTTGAGTTTTAAAAGTAGATTTTGGTAAAGTATGACCATATCATTTTGTTCTTAGTCCTGGAGGCAATAGAGCTGGACCCTGGTCAGTGGCTTGAGAGGACACAGGGGTTTGTTTAAATGTCAGTGACTTGTGAAAGCGGAGGGAAGGGGAGCAAACACCCCAGATCTCAGAGTCCAGGAAGGACCTGCCCTTACGAAGTTACAGACTTCAATGGCTTTCTAAGCCTCACACAGTTAGGAAAAATTGGGGAAAATGTATCCATGCTATTCATGAATTTTAAAATTCCCAAAGACACAGCAGTTTCTTTGTTTCTTTTGTTTGTTTTGAAACAGGGTTTCTTTGTGTGTAGCCCTGGCTGTCCTTGGAACTCACTCTGTAGACCAGGCTGGCCTTGAACTCACATAGATCAACCTGCCTCTGCCTCCCCAGTGCTGGGCTTATAGGAGTGGGCCACCACCACTAGGCTGTTTTTGGTTTGTTTGCTTGCTTTTTTTTGTTTTATAGAGGGCAGTTTTCACTTTTTCTCTATCTGAATGGGTTTAGAGGAAAATATTTACTCAGTGATTAATTTAGGATCAGTATAAAATATTTATTTCTGAGTTTCTTTTACTCATGATTGGTATGTTTTGAAAAGTAATTTTAACTGAATGTTGGGTTAAGAATATTAATGTATCACTATCATAAGTACAGATATTTATACATTAAACAAAGCCTGTTCATTTGCCCATTCATAGAATTTATTGGTGAACACAGTTTTTGAAAAAAAATTATACTAAAATATAAAATAAAAGGTATACATTACTGATAGAAAATATGCAGTGAAGGTATTCTGGATATAAAGATGTCCGGGTGCTTGCGGATGAACTACAGTGAGTCCTTCATTTTACATTATTTCTGTGGCATGTACAGTGCAGTCTAAACCATGCTGATGCTCTGTTCTCTTCAGCTCCCAGTATTGCCAGCATTGCAGTAAGCATGCGTAGGCAGAAGGAGCAGTAGGCCAAGTGAGATTTGGGGCTTCTGGTGCCTGGCTGGCTTGGGCTGAGTCAACTTTCTCACTCTGACCAGTCAATTCTTTTCAAGTCCTGAGGCTTTAATTTTCTGAAACAGTGTAGAAAGGAGCACAGAGTTTTAAAGAAACCAAGATCCACATAGGAATCCCCAAACTACTCTGCTCTGAGTGAGGCCACGGGCAATTACCGCTAGCGTCCCTTCAGACAAGTCTGGAGGGTAAATGAGGCTGAGCGAGCATGGCTCACGGCAGGCCTGTGAGCAGTGCCGCCATCGCCTACATGTCTGTGTGTGGTGGTGAGGGTGACCAGTCCTCAAGACATTTTATTTCCATTGGCAAAAGTTGTTGTACTAATCTTAAAGTAAGACACTTGACTGCCATCTGCTGGAAAATTCTCTTTGTAAATATGCAAATCTATGATGTCCAATACCTAAGCCATGACACCCGAGAAGTACTGGTGTCTTTGTATAAAACATGATCTGCAAGCTGTACACATTGAAAACACTGTGCTCAGTAACAGTCTATTTGCTAATTTTCTGATTTTTGTGAAATGCATTCCAGGTAATATTGTGTAGAAATAGATTTGAAAAATTAAAAGTTCAAAGTTTTCATAAAAGGAATCAGTACTTTCCACCATTTGCCACTTCTTTACCAAAAAAGAATATTCCACTGTAAAGCCTGAGTTAAACACTCTTAGCAGAAATACTAACTATGGGGCTGGAGAGATGAGTCAGCAGTCCAAGAGGGCTTGTTACTCTTGCAGAGGTCCAGAGTCAGGCTCCTAGCATCCACTCTGGGGCTCAAAACTACCTGTAATTCCAGATCCAGGGGTTCAGACACCATCTTCTGGTGGTGGAGCCACAGGTAGGAAAGCACAGGACATGCCACGGTGATAGAGTACATTAGAAATGGCAACCACCAAGGTCCTCAGTGGAGGCTGTTTTCTACATGTAGGGCTGTCTGGGAGAGATGCAGCTATAGAATGGAGCCTCTGACAGAAATAAGGCTTGGGTCCCAAAATACTAGAAGTCTGACAATGCCAGAAGCAAAGTGTATGTAATTATTCCAACAGGACAAGGCTAATGTGTCATTCAGTGGTCCTATCCAGATATTTATGAAAATTGTAGAATTTAATGTTCTAGAGGCAGGATGAGGGTAGGCTAAAGGTGTAACAGTTTAAAACAAACATGAATCAGGAAAGGGTGGGTTAGGAGACCGGGGTAGCTGCCTGTACTGGTTTTGTCAACTTGACACAAACTAGAGTCACCTGGGTAGAGGGAATCTCAACTGAAATTGTCTCCAATAGGTCAGCCTTTGGGCATGTTTGCGGGACATTTTCCTAGTTACTGATTGATGAAGCAGCCAGCCCAATGTGGGTAGGGCCATTCCTAAGCGGGTGGGTCTGAGCTGTATAAGAAAAGTATTTTAACAAACCAGAGAATGCAAGGCCATAAACAGCGTTTCCCTGAGGTCTGTGCCTCAGTTCTGGACTCCAGGACCCCTCTCCTCGATGATAGACTGTAATCTTAACCCATTTCCTCCCTAAATTGCTTCTGCTTAGTACTTTAGCAATAGAAGCCAGATTAGGACACTGCTCGGTGTGCAGAATTGCATCACCTCTCGAACCTCAGTCCCGCTGTCTGGGGACTTTCCAGGTAGAAGAGCTTTGCTGTAGGAAGCCCTCACATGCCACTCAGGATACCCTATGGTACTAAAGGGATTTGTTGGGAAAAGGAGGTCAGGAAGTTCCTGGGAATCATAAAAGAATCACATCATAGAATTCTAGGATCTCGGAGCAAGATTCATACCACCCATAGAAACAACACTCCAAGGTTCTTGTAGACTACTATGACCTGGATCAGATGGGTTATGACCATAGGAAATTGTGCAGCTTTGTAGCCAGAGGTCTGGTTGTACACAAATCATAAAGCTAGGTGGGCCTAGAAGTACTCTGTCATTAAAAGGAGGCGGCAGACATGGGTCTGGCAGGAACACAGGGATGTCGCCAGTTCAGGGACTTGAGCCAGATGTCACCCGCCAGTATTGTACCGGCGGTCACAGCTACAGCTGCCTGGAGGGATCCGTACAGCAAATTGATGGGGGGAGGAAGAGCGCCCATTGTTTTCACAGATGGCTTGGTCAAGAATGCAAACTAAAGATGGGTGCTGCTGTGCTGTATTATCTTGAGATGACCTTGCCGGGGAGGTGAAGGTAGATTCTTAACATGGGAACCGTTTCTGATGAGTCAGTGGTTACTCACTTGGTGTGGAGAGACGTGTGGCTCAAGGTGAGACACATGGGACAGCAGTTTGATGGAGGGTGTGGGGAAACACTTGTAGAACATGAAGGTTGAGGGACTTCCTCGCGCCATGGTCATCAGTCACCCTCAGAGCAGCTTCTACCAGAATCGCAGTGAACAGCCTCAGAGTAATGGTAGTTTTGACATAAGGGAACAGGGTAGATCAACAAGTGTGGCTTTGAAAGGACAGCTTGCTCCAGTAGGAACAGCCTCTTTTCAAGTTCTCCTAGGCAAGACTGCTACTCTGGCTGGCTGTGTCAGCCACATGGACACAGTTGAGGTTAGCAGTACCTGAAGCAATGCTTAGGATTTTATTTTTTAATTAATTAATTTTAAATAATTAATTTTAAATAATTAACATTTATTCACTTTGTATCCCAGCTGAGCCTCCTCATCTCCTCCCAGTTCCATCCACCCTCCTCCTCCTCCCCCTATGCTTCTTACCTAGTCCACTGATAGGGGAGGTCCTCCTCCCCTCCTAGCTGACCCTAGCTTATCAGGTCTCATCACAACTGTCTCCATCATCTTTCTTTGTGGCCTGCTAAGGCTATACCCCTTTCCCCCCAGGGGGAGGTGATCAAAGATCCAGGCACTGAATTCATGTCAGAGACAGCCCCTGATCCCCTTCCTAGGGAACCTACTTGGAAACTGAGCAGCCTCCAGGCTTCATCTGAGCAGGGCGTCTAGGTCCTCTCCATGCGTGCTTCTTGGTTGGAGTATCGGTCTCTTTACACAGTGGAATACTACTAAGCAATTAGTAGTAAAAACAAGGAAATCATGAAAGTTGCAGGCAAATGGATGGAACTAGAAAAGATCATCCTGAGTGAGGTAAGCCAGAAGCAGAAAGACACATATGTTATATACTCATAAGTGGATATTAGACATATAATATAGGATAAATATACTAAAATCTATAGTCCTAAATAAGCTAAACAACAAGGAGGACCCTAGGGAAGAGGCTTAATCCTTATTCAGAAGGGCAAACACTATAGATATTGGAAGCAGGAGAAGACAGGGAACAGGACAGGAGCTACCACAGAGCGCCTCTGAATCTGAAAGGCTGTACCCAACAGAGTATCAAGGCAGATACTGAGACTCATAGCCAAACTCTGGGCGGAGTGCAGAAAATCTTATGGAAGATTTCCTGCACTCCGCCCAGAGTGTAGTAAGGCCTGGAGAGGACAGGAACTCCACGAGGAGAGCAACAGAACCAAAATATCTGGGCCCAGGGGTCTTTTCTGAGACTGATGCTCCGGCCAAGGCCCACGCCTAGGATTTTAAAATAGCGAAAGAGAGTAGTTTAGAAGGAATGACTCCACACAGTAAAAGACTTTCAGAATTTATCCCATGGCTTCAGCCAAATAGCTACTGTGTGAATGCACTAATTAGAGCCTTCCGGGGATTTTAGAATGTACTCATGAAGCAGTGACAACCAAGTGATTTGGAGCGGTTCATGGAGGCCACTGGAGGAGTCGGTGGGCTCCGGCCTCAAGGCGCTACGAACTGAGCACAAGGGGCTTGCTTTCTAGGGAAGCCCCATGGCTGTTCAGATGCTCAGGTATGGAACCTTAAATGTGTCCTGTCACTCTTAGGTTCTCCCCAGCTGGCTTCCGCTGTTTGCAAATAGAAGAAAGGCATTGGGGGAAGCCAGATGGATCTGGGTTGCGCCCTGGAAGAATTTTGGTGCTGCCCAGAGAAGCAAGAAGAGAGCCAAGTACACAGCTAGTCCTGAGGTGAAGAGTGGCTGGAAGAGGTCTCTAAGTGGCCACACTAAGCGAGTCTGGTCTTAAAATACCCACTAAGCTCTCTGTTTGTTCTCTTACATGCTTAGGGAAGTTCCCTACAGTTCTTGCCTGGACCACTTGAACTTGTAAGTTCTGTGTCTTTTGCCTTATCATCCAAGGTGCCAAATGCAGATCAATTAAGAGTGTCCCAGAGGCCTTGTTATTCCAAGATATCCCTGTGAAGTTAATGGCTTTTGTGTTAGGCCCAAGGAAGGAACTCAAATGGTGACTTAATCCTTGCATTTTTTTTCTTTTTCTTTCATTTTTCAAATTACCCCTTTGCAAAGATTTTGGTGCTAAATCCTACTTCTCTCTGGTTTCAGCCACTTATTCCAGTGAATTCACTGGAGGCCTTTGAGAAAAAAAGACTAAGTTAGAAAAAGGAAGAAAAAACACTTACAGATCTATGTAGGAGGAGGGGAAAGGAAGAATTTGGGTCATTTATATGCTGCATGTCTTGCTGACAGTTAAGTACAATGGTTTGTTCTGCTTTCTGCCACTCAAAGGTTATTTAATGAAATTCATGAGGGAGAATGCCAACCAGCCCCACATCTGAAATAATTGCTTCTCCGTTGGTGAGCCTCACAGCCAGGATTGATTTTCCCCTGGCTGATAGCTCTCCTTTCCGACTCCTGAATGTCCTCCCCACTCCCCTCCCCATGTAACTTGATCTCTGTATTTGATTCCTATTTAGTAGGACACTTCGCTAAACAGATGTCGAGTAACTAAAATCCCACGTGCGCACACGTCAGGGAGTTACATCTTCCAACAGTCGGCTTAGAGACTTTCCACCTTGGCTTCCCGCCCCCCCCCCCCCCGGGGTTATGCGTATGCCCTGAAGCAGGTTTCAAACACTATGGCTCAAGCTGCCTGCGTTTCCCCACAGGTTCCAGGCCTTTCTTTCAACTCACCTGGATTTCCACCAGTATCCAAATTCTCACTGAATGAATCATCTGTATGCATTCATGCCAGCTCTAGCAATTAAAAAAAAAAATCATAACAAGGTTGTTCTAATCATGGATTAAGAGTGCCTTTCATTTCTCCACTCTCTGAGGTATAGCCAAAATATTTCAGTCTAAAAAAAATCTTCAAGCAAACAACAAAAACCAAACACCAAACAAAAAACAAAACCAAACAACTACGAGATCAAATACTAGAAACCTGTTCAGCTGCTATAGGACTCTAATGTTTAGTGTGTGGAGAGCGGCAGGCAAAGCTAGGAAGGGCTTATTACGTGGACTTTGCTACTTTGGGAGAGGACTTACAATTTCTGTTTACGGAAGTTATTTATAAAAGTATTACCACTAAAAAGAAGTATTTGTAATGATAAATCTGGTAGGGGCATACCTTTAAACAAAACTGGACAGTGTTGAAACATGAAAGAGGTAAACAAATTCCCCTTCCAGCTGACAGACACACATCAATTTCAAATTAAAAAAAACAAAAAAGCAACTGAGCACTTTTAACAATTCATTTTAGATAGTTATCAAATTAGCCAGACAAATGTCAGGTAAGTGACAATCTTAATGAAAAAGAATCACATTTAGCAAATTTATAAGTTTTTCATTGTATGCATGTTTCTTGTTAGGCTACTTCTAGAATAATTCAGAACTTTTTTTAAATGTGATTTAAAAAATCGAGCAGGAAGTTTAGAGGCTAACAGGTACTGGTTTTGTTCCAAAAACCTCAAAAGCTGTTACCTAAGCTTCATTCCCTACTTCATTATAAAGCAGATAAAAATCCTCTGCTCAATCAAAGCTTCACTTCGGTGGTTTACATTCAACTTCTACTCTTGTTAACTAAACAAAAGCTATGTAAATAAGCAGAGATATAAATTAACAAGTATATTAAATAAACAGTTGTTCACAACGAACCAGAGTCTTACATAAACAGTTATACCAAACAAGAGCTAGTGTTTCAGAAGATAGATTTCAAAACAAGGGGGAAGAGAGTGGGTGTGATCTCACTGCTGTGTATGGCTCTTGACAGTTCCAGGACTGGCAATGTTTTCATCCTAATGTGCTCAGGATACCCACCCCCAGCCCCGCCTGCTCTCAGGTCTTCTTCACTTTCGTGCAGCTTGTGTCTCATTTACTAAAGCTCAGGGCCTTTTGTCTTCTCTGACTCAGGCTTTTTAAGCCTTATTTTCCCTCCAGTCCTTATCATATGTCTGTCCTTGTTCGCTATTTCTTTCTGACTGTTGAGCAAAAATGTATTAATTCCAGTAACCCATTCCTGCTTCCCACTGTCCTGGTATAAATTAGGAAGAGCTGTGAGGATCATAAGCGCTCCTACAAGGGGCTCAAAACAAAGCCTTACCATTTCCATGTGAGCGAATGGCAGCAAGTTCTTTACTTCTCTGTACTTCAGCTTCATGGTATAAAAATAGAGATAAAAAACTATGTAAACGCCGTCTGTGGCAGGTAAGGATCGGCGCAGCAAGATGTGGGGATGCTGGCTGAGAACTTTTGGTCTCCTACCAAACCCAGCTTACTCCCATGGCTTCATTAAAATTTATTTCAAATCACTTGTTTTTGTTGATTTTTTCACTTTGACATCTATTTGTGCTTAAAAGGGTGTGTGTGTGTACATGAAGAGACACAGAAATGATCCCTTCTAGTCTGGAAAATGGGGATTGCAAAGAGATAAATTGGATCTCAAAAGTTTTGTAGGCCAAAGTATTGCCTAAATATAAAAACCCTTTTTCACTGCCACACAATTGTGAAAAAGAACCTGGAGGAAAAAAGCATTTACAACCTACATGCTACCTACAGAAGAGAAATGAGGTGAGAACAAGCAAAATATACAAACAACAAAAATCTGAGCATTCTGCCTGGGAGTGGTTATGCACGCCTGTAATCCTAGCACTTGGGGAGGCAGAGGCAGGTGGAGCTCTCTGAGTTCAAGACCAGCCTGGTCTACAAAGTGAGTCCAGGACAGCCAAGACTACACAGGGAAACCCTGTCTCAAAACAAAAACCAAAAACAAAAAGGAAGAAAAAATTTGAATATTCCAAAAGGAAAAAAAAGTGGGATGTTGTGATGAACTCTTCCAAACTTAGAAGAACCCCTTCTAAGTGACTTTCTCATACTGACATAAATACATTGATGCCATTGTACAAAAGCTTTCCGAAAGCCTCTGAAGGACCTTTGCTCGGGTGCAAACGCTAACCCTCCTACCTGACAGTCATCACAAATGCCCATGTTGCAACTTATTCTCGGTTTTGGCATACAGATGATCCAAATCATTCTGCACACAAATCTATTTCTTCCATAGTTTGTGGTGTGTTTTCTCTTACAGTTCAGTTTCACATTTTCCACTTGAACCTCTTCACACTTCCCTCTTTAACCTGAGATGGATTTCTGTGTGTATGAAGCGTGCAATCAGAGTTCCCTCAATGACTGGCCAGTAAGTACTCCTAGAATTGTTTGCTGATAATCCACGTCCTCCCTATTAGTCATGCTTCGTTTCCTGGCATATTGAATTCAGAGCTATCTACTCCGAACTATTAATCTATTTGTCAATCTTTCAGTAATTCAATATCGCTGTAATAATTATGACTTTATCATCTGTAGTGACATCTGGTAGTGTGAACTCTTCATCTTTATATTTACTCTGCTTACTCTGTTTTTCCTCCAGATAGAAAATGTTTCCATTCAAACCTGTCCCTTTGGAGGGCTTTTTTGGGGGGAGGGATTAAAATTGTAAATACTGTTTACTTAGGAGCATATATATCTTAATTTATTTCTTTGGGGTATAGATCTCACTCAGTTTTTGCCAACATTATCTGTGGACATTTTGAATAGGATTTTTTAAACCGTTATATTACCCAACAGGTAAGTGGCAAATCACTGGCAACTTTTTATATATAACATACATCGATGTATACATGTATACAGCATGTATCTCGTTATCTGTGGGTGTGCATTTGTACAGATGTGCATACCTGTGTGTGTACCCACAGAGACGACAGGAGGACATCAGGTGCCTCATCCTACCAGTCTATGCCTTATTTCCTTCCATGGAGTCTTTCACTGAACCTGAAGCTTGCCATTTTAGGTAGGCTGGCCAGCCAACATTCCTCTAGGATCTGCCTGTATCTGCTTCTGGTGATGGGTTTACATGAGTGTGCGCGCGCACGCACACACGCACGCACGGCTGTTTTACATGGGTGCTAGAGATTCAAACTCAGGTTCTCATATTTACACTTTTACACAATGAACCATCTCTCAAGCCCCAATATTCTACAGCAGCTTTTCAACTGGGTTTCTAAAATCTGATAGGCAAAAGTATTACCTACAAATAAAAGCTTTTCCCTCACTGCTTTGAGATATACTCATTTACATTTTATCTTTTTAGGCATTTCAACATAATTTTAAGTAACAACAGTGGTGACAGGCATCTTTATATTTGATTTTAATGAAAATGGTTACATAGTTTAGAAAAGGAATTTAAAAATAGGAATGAAAATAGAGTGAATAATAAAATGACATTTGCCTATCAACTACCTTCAAAACCTTCAACATTTTTTTTTTTTACATGTACTTTCAAATTGATACAAATTCTGCTTTTCTGGATACAGGCTTAGAATTATCTATCCAAATGTTGATCTTCATTTCCATTACTATGTATTAGTCCTAATAGGCAAAGACATTCAATGCTGTCTTTTCCTAAGTAATAAGCAAAGACATTCCACTGCTATGTGACTGCAGAGACCTGGCTAGCAACCTAACTAGTTAGCAATTAGTGAAAAATTGTGATTCATTCATGTAATTGTAATCAACAATCGTAAAATATGCTGACATGAAAAGACAGCCAAGTTTCCTTATGAAATTAAAAAGCAAGCACAAGACAATGGACAGGTGTGATTTCACTTTTTGAAAAATTTCACGTCAACCCCATGGCTCAGTTGGTAAAGTGCCATCAGTGTGAAAACAAGAGCCTGAGTTAGTTCTGAATAGTCATGTAAAAGGTACATGTGTCTGTAACCTCAGTGCTGGGGTGAGCTCATGGTCAGCCAGCCCCACTAGCTGGTAGGGGTGGGGGTGGGGAGGACTGCCGAAGAACACATGTTGGGGATGGTCTTGTGCACAGATGCTCATCACTGTGCTCTGAGATCTGGTTGCAGTCCTGAATCAAGGATGCTCCCGAATTATTTCTGATTGGTTAATAAAGAAGCTGACAGCCTATAGCTGGGTAAAAGAGGACAGGAGGCGCATCTTCCATTTCCAGTGGAGGGGGTCACAGAGGAAAGGAAGGAGAAAGCTGATAGGAAGGATGAGGAGGAGGTTGCCATGAGGACAGAGAGATGCTACAAAAGCAGCCAAGCTAAGACTGAGATGGCAAGTAACGGGCATTCGGCTGGGAGGTGGCCACACTAGCATAACTGGATCAGAACAGATGAGTATCTGCCCAGTCACAGAGCTGAAGCTTGTTGAATAAATCTAACAGGTGTCAATTATTCAGGAGCTATGGCCAGTATTAGAAAAGCCCCTACTAAAACCATAATTCTAGAAATACAAATCACACACACAATTTATTCTAAAGAGAAAAGCACACATGTCTGAAAGTTTCTGGGAAGTTGTTTCTGGGCAGGAAGAATAGAGTGCTGTTGGGATGATGTCTTTGTACACTGTGGAGACTGTATTGTTCAATGCTGCTTTCTGCTCTGGCAGATTCTGCTGACAGGCTGGACCTTGGCATTGTTAAGCATCACCTGTCTCAGAGAGCTCTGTAAATACTCCTCCTCTCAACTTCTGACTGGTTTTAACAAAAAGTTGAAGGTCTATAGCAGTCAGGAGAGGAGGTAGGACTTCTGGGACAGAGCGAGGAACTCTGGGAGAGAGGAGGAGCAGGAAAGTCTCAAGCAGGACATGGAGCAAGAAGTAGGCTGGGACTGAAGGAGAGTAGTAAGAGTCACGTGGCAGAACTTAGATTGGTCTAAGTAGGATAACTGAGTTATGAGCTAGTTGGGAACAAGCCTAGCTATAAGGCCTAGGCATTCATAAATATGTATAGGTCTCTGTGTCATTATTTGGGAGCCGTTACAAAGAAAGCCCCATTTTAGTTTTGGCGCCCAATATCCAGCACATACGCGAAGCTTAGATACTAGATTCGGTCATTAGAGCCCAACCGTAAAGTCACACAGCATGAGCTATGTGAACAGAAGGCCTGGTCCTTTAAGAGAGCGCCAGTGGCCTCCCCCCCCCCAAAGGCTACAGGAATGCAACAGCCAGGCCCAGACAGGGAGACTGAAACCCTGCACACAGGTGTGTCTCTGACCAGGTCCAGTATGTTTGATTGTGCTTAAGAGCTAGAGAAAGAGAATATTTTCTGTGTTAAAAAAATGGAAAATGCAATGACGGAGGGTATCTGGATCCCATATAATTTTGTTATGCTTATCAGCATAAAACTAATTATACAACCAACAATGATTATAATTTCATATCCCTTCTTTAAGGAAAACAAACAAACAAACCAACCAAAAACAGAATAAAGCATATTTAGATAAGAAAGTGACTGAGAAATGGATTGCTAGATAGGAAGCGACAGAACAGAGATTGGATGATTCCTTGAATCAGAATTTAAAAAATCTCCTCCCAAAAATCCAATCTAGAACCTACGACAACAGCAAAACAAAATAAAACAAAAAAAGTTCCCAGATTTAAAAAAAAAAAATGCAGTTATCAAGAAATTGAGTGGCAACCCATAGAGGTGCTAGATTTAAAGAGGTTTAAAGACACAATAATGTCCCTTGATATGTATTTAACTTATATAAAACAGATACGTAACAATTTGGCCATGCAAAAGCATATAATTCCAAAAGATTGGAGAGAACTGATGTCAGCCATATTAAAACTTGCCCTCAACAACAATGGCTAATGTGGACAAGTGATACCTATTCAAGATTTCAATGTATTTTTGCCTTGACTTCTGAAAAGGCTGATTCTGTAACTGCACATTTGTTAGAGATGATGGCTACATTAAACATGTGTTTACAGATTGAAGCTGATGGTGCTCTGACATATGTAGCTAATAGAGTACAATTTTTTAGACATGTGACAGAAAATGTTACAGATATATCTTACAAACTTATAGGACAAACAATTGTAGAGAGATCTAACAGGACTTCAAAAGAAATGCTCATAGAACAGAAAGGGGATATGGGACCTTCCAGAGATGGATTCAATAATGCTTTATTGACTTTACATTTTTAAACATCAATGAGACAAGTAGCTCAGCTGCTGAAAAACACTGGATTTTAGAAAGGACTGCTGGTTTAGATCAACCTATAGTTGTGCTATCTTCAGAATGGAAATCAGATAATGTTTTGTGTTGGAGAGGTTTTTGCCTGTGTTTCAACAGGAGAAGAAAAACTATGGATTCCTCCAGAATTAATAGAGATGACTAGGGGAGACCTCTGGAATTTTTGACTGCAGAAACAATGGAAGAAACAAATAAAAACAACAAGAAAGGTAACGTGAATGCTGATCTCTCTCTTCATGGGAACAGCTCTGAGAGTGGCTGAGGCATGTCTTTGTATAGCCAATGAACCCTGTTGGCTACAAAGTCCTCATAATAAGTCTATTATGCCATCCTCTCACATGGCACTGGATGGAAATTTATATTACAGTTTGATTATACAGTCTAAACTCACTTATAAAGAAAGACAGATACCTTATACCTGTTCCAACAGGGAGCAGAGAATCATCTTTAGCTGAATTGTGCACACTGCACGTTCCATACATGTATTAATGCAAATGTATATTGTCTGTAAAAGTTTACATGTTTACAGAGCAAAAAGACCAGAAACCAAAGAAGACAAGACAAGCAGCTGAAGTGATCCTACCTCGCAGACTGCTCCAATAGCTGTTTCCTCAAAACTCTGCACACAGAGCAACTTTAAAATGGCTGAAATTGACCAGCCTCACAGACTGCTCTAGCCAGGGTTCCAGTTAATCCCTTTACTTCCCATCACTCCAGAAAATGGACAAAAATGATATCGCCAGCTTTCTTAGGAATTGGCCATTAATCTAAAATTTTTTATGGCCCCTGCAAAAGAACAATGCCACCAGGCAGCAGGAAGCAATTTTAAGAGAATGACAGTGCGTACCCAAAAAAATGGGGTGGGTGGTTTTTGGTCATTTGGTGGGTGACAGATGTTTGTCATCGTAATGGGGGTGGTGGTCACAAGTTGTTAATGGTCTTGGTCAGGGAGTAAAGTATAGGAGGTTAGATTCAGGGATCTCTTTTTCTCTTTCTTTTTCTTTCCTTTATCCTTTCTCTCCCATTTACTGCTAGGGGGGAAAAGGGGAGAAGAAATGAAAAGAAAAAGGGAGAGACAGGAATGATAGGATAAAAGGGTAGATTATTAAATTTAGACTACAGAGCGTCAAGCCAAATATTTTTACATTGTTACATATTATTGTATATTGATACAAATTTAAGATTATATTTTAATACATACCATATATATGTTTCAACTCTTGTATAAGGTATTGTGCCTATGCAACTCCTTTAAAAATGCAATGTGGCGTTCTAGTGATTGTGTAAGCTGCTGTTACAAACTGTTATGGTTATTTTTACAAAACTGTTTCTCTTAGTTTCTCTCTTCACCCAGCTATCATGCAAATAATTGAGACTTCACTATATTATTTTAATAAGCTTCACACTGCAATAACTGAGCAGTTATTACTCTGTTCTTAACCCTCTAAAGTAATCTGGTTTCCTCCCAGTGTACATCCCAGAGATACTTACACTTTGTAGCTTCCTGCTGAGCTCTCTTCCAGTCTCTTCTGGACATCTGATATGGTTGAATCTCTTCCTCTTCTCATTCCTCCTCCCTTGGCTGGCAGGAAGTCCAGGGTATTCTCTCCCCTGATCAGCGATTGGCTGTAAGCTGCTTTATTGGCATAACGGGATAATTGGAGAGCAGTGTTTACACATTGAGGCAGGAGATCCTCAGAACAAGGATTGCAACCAGATGTGGGAGATAACAGAAATCAGCATTTGAATTACACAATAACCTACAATTTAAGGTAATTTAACAAAATGCAAGTTAATAGTCAATCAAACTTATGGTCATGTATTTACAGAAATAAGCTTTATTTAGTTTCCTATAGATGTTTTCAAAGTTGAAGAGATAGTAAATAGCTAGAAACAGGTAATGTTGCCTATTCAGATATACTACATAGAGAGATAGATGCATGTTCTTCAAAAACCTCAGAGAGCTACAGAATATAGCAGTTAAGGATGTTTTATTAATAAGAGACTTTTCTGACAGTGAGACACGGCTGCTCTTGGCAGCACCTCGATTCTACTTCAAATGAGATGCTGGGCATTGAAGAACCTCCACATGGAATTTGCTTCTAATGAGGCAAGCCAGCCACTGGGTGAGAGATTGTCCTTGCCTCAACTGCTGATGGTATGCTGTCTAGGCTGTGGACAAGGAGCATGTAGAAGAAGTCAATTGCCAAGCTTTTCCAAGACAAGGTAGGTAGTCCTTCATAATTTTTGCTTCACAGAAAAGTCTATTATACAGTGGGCCAGAAGGCTGAAGGTGGGACCTCAGTGTTGCAGAGAAACCTTGAGTGACTGTCCAGACAGACAGCTGTCTCTGTCATTTCTATAGTAAAGGAAGCTGCTTGCTCTACACTTCCTGTTCACTCAGGTAACATTTATCCTTCTCAGGTCTCTGATGGGGTTGAAGACTAAATAATTATAGTCTCACATAAAAGCCTAAGTTGTGAAGGATCTAAGAGAGTGATACAGGGTCTAAGGAGATGTTTTAAGGATTGTTTTATTTATTTATATAAATAATAGTTTATATTTATTATATATAAATATAATATTATAATATAAATATAATTAATATTTAAATATAAATATAAATAATATTTACATTTAAATAAATAATCAATATAGTTTTATTTATATTCTGTATCTATTTTGTGAAATAGACTTTTTAGGGATTTCTCTGCTCTCAATCTCTTTCCTTTTGAATTGTAAATATAAGTTTGAAGGTTGGAGGGTGTGAAAGTTTAAGTTGTAAGGTGTTTTAAGGTTGGTCAATGAAAGTTGGAGGAAGTTACAAACAGGTGTTTTAAGGATGACAATTGCAAATTGTGAAAGTTAGAGGATATAAAGGCTTAGATTTTAATAAGAAAGGGATTTAGGTACAGAACTTTGAACTCAACAAAATAGATTGTGGAATGCTTTCTCCACGATTGCCATATACAAATGGACTGGACATTGTGAATGTAATTCTTACTTGATAGTTCCATAATTGTTCTTATTGTAGATAGCTTACTATTGAAAGAGAAAAAGCATTTATTGGACTAAAAGACAATGTTGCGGGATGGTTCTGTGCACTATGTATTCACAGTGCTGGTTTCTGTATGCAGAGATCTGGCTGCAGTCAGAGTCTCCTGTCTCAGTGCTCTCCATCACACCTGACTGGCTGACACACAGCTTAACAGCCTATAGCTGGGGGGAGAGTTAAGCCAGGACTTGTGATCCCAGGAGGAAGATCCTAGGTGGAGGAGAGAAAGAGGAGAAGGTGGCCATGAGGACATGAATGGAGCAGGAGCAGCTGGGGCAAGACTGCGTGGCAGGTAACAGAGCACATGGGTGGAGAGTAGGCCAGGCCTGCAGAGTTGGGTTAGCATAGCTGCGTATTTGCTCAGCTGTGGGTTGAAGCTTAGTCATAAGTATAATAGGGCTCCATGTTATTATGGCAGCTAGAATGGGCATAGAAAAAAAAAACCTTTAATTTTACAGAATGGTGATAGAAGAATTAAGTTCTTTATGAATTTTTAATAAACCATTATTAAAAGATAACAGTGGTTAATTTTTTAACATTTACTGAGTTTTAAAAAATTATCTGTGGTTGGGCACAGTGGTGCATGCCTATAATGCCAGCACTCAGCGAGGCAGAGGCAGGCGGATCTCTGTGGGTTTGAGGCCAGCTTGGTCTACAAAATGAGTCCAGGACAGCCAAGGCTATACAGAGAAACCCTGTCTCAAAAAAACACAAAACAAAACAAAGCAAAAAAATGATGTGTGTGTGGGAGAGACAGATCAGTGATCGGAAGCACTTGTTGCTCTCGCAGAAGACCCAGGTTCAGCTCCCAGCATCCATGTGGCATGTGACAACCATCTGGTGTCTGTGGGGGCCGCACACACGTGTGCGCAGACACAGATGCAGGCAGGACACCCACGCACATAAAAGACAGATAAAGGTTTTAAAGGTCAGGTGTTTTAATCAGGGACAGATCAGGGTTTTTAGCACTTTTTTAAGACTTTCCTTTTATTGCCTAATTGTATTAGTTGTATTTTTATGATGTTAAAATATCTTATTTCTAAAAAAAAATGTCAAAAGTGACTTACTGTGTTGCATTTAATTGGTGACACTGGATTTGTTGTCTGAACTTATATTTAAAAATTTTGTAACCGTTTTGGAAAAGTTTTATAATATATTTAATTTCTAAAAAACAATCTTTAGAATATATACTCTAAAAGGAACATATGTGCTCTCTGACGTTTGCTGGGGTACACCCAGAACATTTCTAACCCTGAGCTTTCAAAATTGTTCCTCCTTGGCTTTGATTTATGCTTCATTTTCTTCCTCCTTCTTAATTAGTTCTTGGTGATTTGTCCTTCCAGGGAAAAATAAAGACAAAAATAGAATCACATGGTAGTCTCATGTAATTTAAAGCAAACTCCTTATCAGTGCTATCTCCTTTGTCTTTTATAGTTTTGTTTGTATTTTTGAGACAGAGTTTCTCTGTGTCTTTTATAGTTTTATTTATATTCTGTATCTATTTTGTGAAATAGACTTTTTAGGGATTTCTCTGCTCTCAATCTCTTTCCTTTTGAATTAATCCATTTTATTGGTTTCTAATGCATCAATTTCTCTTGCAATTATTCTCTAATCCTCCTTTCTTGGAGGCTTGTTATTATTGATAGTGATGATGATTTGGTAGTGGTGTTTTGAGTGCTACTCGGCTCATTTGGTTTTATTCTTATTAAAATCTCACTTGTTAAACAATGCTGGTAAGCTAGCTGTGGTTGCAAATGGCTTTCAGGTATTTCTATCTGATCTGCTCTGAATGGGGAAAGATTTGCTGACACTGAAATGTCATTTAAAATAATGTGATTCAGACACTAGTAACATGAATAATTCTAAAAATGAGCAACGGGACACAACTGCCGCAAGCTTGTGACCTGCTAAGGAGGCCAATACCTGTCTGTAAGTGTAAACCGCACGTCATCTGTCCTCACAAATGGGAAGAACTGGCAGCTAAGAACTAAGGAGGTGCCCTCCTGCTCCGTTATTAAGATGACTTCGACACTTCATAGACATGGATAACCTCAAATATCTTTTTCCTTTTTAGAAGATGTACACATTATCTGTACAGTCTTGCTTCACTTTTTGTCGTTAAATTCAGGTAGAATGTTTTTCAAGTACAAATATTAAAAATTGTAAACACAGTAAAGAAAAAAGTTTTCATTGTAAAAACCAATTCACTAACTACAGATGTAGATGAAAACAGGCTATATCTTTAAACTGGTTTTCAAGGTTAGGATTTTCAGCCATCAGTTGTTAATAGAGAACACTGTGGCAACAGAAAAGCAAATCTGCAGGTGTGTAATTTTCCCCAAGGTCTGCAGCAGAAATCACTAGAGTCATGTGTTCCCAGATATGTTAACAGTTTTAAAGTGGTCAGGAAAGGGAGGATTTTGTGGTCAGGAAAGTGAAACTGTTCTATTTAACATCTGACCCGTGGCCATATCACTGTTGATCAAGTTACCCGTGCCTGGCCATCCAGGTGGGAGCCAGACTGTGCCTGACGAATCTTCAGTAAACATCTTACTACAAACCAGTGGCAATATCATTAAAGCCATGGATTCAGTTCTATGTTACTTAAAATAATGCAAAGAAAAGTTGCAAAGCATTGTGAGCTAGAGGTGAAAGGCTCATAATTTATCCTCTGCTGGTGGTCTTAGAAGAAACAAAACAGCTTCATGAAATGAGCTCCAGATTAACAGCTTTAGAATCATAATTGAAAATGTTTTCTGTTTTACACAAACATGCTTCTCAACTTTTCAAACTTCCAAATGCAAGAGCTTAAGACCTAGGGATTCACTCTTATGAGGAAATAACAATAGAAGCCAAATAAACAGAAGCCCAAACTTTTTTTCTTTCTTCCAACCCCAAATAACGGTATTTGGCATTGATCTCAACTGATTGCCTTCTAAAGTAGCACATTAATGAGACAATAATCCAGAGCCAAAACAAAGAGAGAAAAAAGTGTTATGTTTGTGAAATGTTTGGGAAGGTATACCTAACACCCAAACACTCAAAGGAAAGCTAACCTGGAGACCAGTTTTAAGTAGCAAGATTTGATGAGAAAATGAAATCCAAGGGCGTGAAGAACATGGAGAAACATAAAGGAACGCAAATACAGAGCGGTGTGTTAGCGACCAGGAAGCAACCTTACAAGAAAGGACAGCCGATTGCTCAGCCTCCAAAGGAACTTCAGTCAAAACCATCAAGCCTTTGGAGTGTCCCTATTAGAAGCTGATATGCAGGGTGGTGCTTGTCTTCTGCTCTGTGAAAATTTGTCTCGTATTGTTCTAACTAACACTTTTCGCTTTTTGCTGGAGCCTTGGGTAGAGGGAGGCAGAACAGCCGGCCATCAGAGCCCCCTATAAGGAAGCAGTGCTGACTCCTCCACTCACTTGTAGGTGGGGCTACTCGGCAGGGAGGCTGCCTGGAGAGGGACCCCAGCAGGAAGGTTAGCCTAACGAACTGAGCCAGAGGCTGAGGTGGGGGTGGGTGGTCGGGCTACGCACCTCTGAAGGCACATCAGCTGCTCTGGTGTGCCCTATTCTTCCTTAGGCATACATTCTCCCTATTGCGGGAGCCCACTTAGAAGACTCCGTTCAGAGACAGCATGCTTTTAAGTGTCAGATTTCATAAGCAGTAAATATTTTCCCCACCAGCTTGTCTCTGTCAGCGACTCCCAGCAACAGCTTCCCCGACCCCCTCCCCAAAACACACCCTGCCTCCACCAGCATTTGAGGAAATTCTTTTACTTATATTTTAAATAGAACACACGTTATCCATTTAAACTTCAGCTGGATGAACTGTGGCAACTGTGATGTACCCACTGCTCCTCTGGAGACACAGAATTGTTTTCTGGCCCACAGTATGCTTTCCTTCCCTTCCTGGCAAATGCTCGGTATATCTAGTTGACATGTTCTAAAACTCAGAGTCACGGGCTCAAATTGACTGTGGTCCTCTCTGTGATTTCCCTCACAGTATGTTTTCAGACCCTGTATTAACAAGGAGTAATGCTGGGCTACCTTTTGGGCTCTGATATGCTTTTAGACAACTTTACCTGCGCTGTTCCCAGGCAGAATTCGGTTTGGGGAAAGGGAGCACCGAGCAACCCTTGTCAACCTGTTAGCACCTGCCGCCAAGCCTGAGGGGACAGATGGGACCAAGAGTGCTGAGGACCAGACGCTGGCAAAACATGCGCCCTGGAAGTGGGCACGTCACGCTCGGAAGAAATCCAGGCCCAGGGTGTCACCATCCTCTCGGGACACCGCGCAGCTCCGCCACGGCCTCTGGGACCACGGGCCGCCGCCGGGCCCCGCGCTCGCCAGGCTCCCGCTCACCGAAGGCCGCAGGGCCGCGCCGCGCCCCGGTCTCCCTCCGCGCCAGCCCGGGCGGGCCGCTCCGCGCGGCCGGCGCTACTTCCCGCCGGAGCTGGCGGG